TCTTGTACACACTTTGTCCATTAACGTCCTGTCCTCAGTTCAGCTTTGTATCTTTATCATTCACCTTTCCCCAAGACTCAGCTTGAAAGTTCAGACCTTCTTTGAACCCAAACTCTGATGAGAGGAGACCTGGAGCAGCAATAGGGCCAGGGAAAAGGAAAGTCCTGATACAGGATGCCCTCCATGTTTTATCCTACTCCATCTGCAAGATCAGGCTGTGAGCAAAAAAGTATCGATTGATTGCCGCATGTGAGGCACCAGAGTGGGCTTGGGTAGACAGAAGAGGATTGACAATAAAAAATCAGCCCTACAACCATGCCACACACAAGCCTATTGCAGTACTATTTAGCATTATTATTATTGACATCATTGTTATTATTGTTGTTGTTGTTGTTACCATTTTCACATGAAAGATGCTTTAAGACGAGGATTTGACATAGTGGCAGGAGAAAGCCTCCTCCACACACTTCCTGTTTATCAAACCATACACCACTACCTGCCTTGGCCAGTTTCTATGGAGGATGCTATTTCTCTCACCTGAAGTGAGCAGAAACCAAGGAAAACAACTAGGGTCCCTGAATGTAGACCGTGAACACACATAATGCTACGGAAACATGAAGATTTTCTTGAGATGCTCCTAGACCACAATAACAGACCCTTCCTAAGTCTATATAAACATTTGAAAATCTGAAGATTTTCAAAATGAATGTCTCAGACTTATGTTGTTTGACGTGGAGAGAGTATCCCTTCTGACATCAAAAAAGCCTCACCAAAACTCACTTCCCAGAGACCCAAGGAAAGCAAAAGCAGCCCTCCAATGTTGCCTTCAGCTATTGCCCCATCATCACCCCATCATTACTCCTCAGGGAATAATTTATCTTACTTTTGGGGAATTTTCTCCTTATTCTGGCAATGAATGAATATTGTCCATCTATTCCTAAAAGTAAAGAAAAAAATTAAGTTCAGACATGGCACAGCAGGTGTGCAGAGCCCACTTTGGCAGAGCTACTGAAATCTCCCTGATTTTTTGATACCACCTAGGTCAAGGTGTTTGTTGGGATGGTCGTCAGTCAAACAGTGTGAAGCTCGTCTAAGAGCATTTGTCCTCTGACTTTAAGCTCTCGATCTTGCAGTCGTATTGCCATCAAAAGGAGTGTTCTTGAGGAAGGATTGATACAATTTCTGCTGCAGCGACAAAAAAAACCTGAAAGCAAATCTCAAAGTGGAAAAAATCTGCGCAAATTTCATTCAGATTTCACAGGAAATCAACTGTGAAATTAGTAATTTCCTCATAAGTTAGTGTAGATTTGTGAAATTATTTGCTAAATTGGTTACATCAGATGATGACTTGGTTCCAAGATTTTAGCTTTACCAAGGTCCAACATAAGAACCAACTACTGGGGCAGATCTTTAGCTGCTGAAAAGAGGGAGAGCTTATTTGAGCAAGACAAGCAGATCCCAGATGAAAGTTCAGCCCACAATACTTTCAGGAAAGCACTGAAGGTACCAACTGGCTGAAGTCATATTCTCATGATAATAGCTGCAACTAGACAGACTTCAGGACTGGCAATAAAATTATAGATTAATAGCATGCATCCATATTATTGCCATTGAACTTCTTTATCAGCCTTACAGTGGGGAACGTTGCCATGAATAGCTGGCGTAGTTTCTCAGCACCCTTTGGAAACCAGTTCATACATCAATCAAGCAAGGAAGCTGTAAACAGCTGCCAAGAAAATGCTAGTCAATCACTCCAGTCCCAGCGGGGTTACGTCAGCTAAATGGACTGGATGAAGTCTGCAGTGCTTTTCCACATTAAGTTATAATTGTAATAAGTTATAATTATGTAAGATATAAACCTAATATTTAGGATCATTTCTATGGATGGTTCACAGGCCTTTTTCTCTGGATCTTTCAGATTTTCTTTTTAAATAAGTCTTGCAGGAAGTTGAAGCTGCAGGAACAAGCGTGTCACCTACAATCACCCAAGAGCTGGCGTCCAGAAGAAATATTAGAAGGAATATTCACGGGGACCAGTGTACTGACATCAAATAGCTCCACTGATCTGGGGTGCCAAGACCTTCCTAGTCCAGAGAAACCCCTCCAGCACGGCACAGGGATGAGTCCTACTGAGCTGAGCTAAGACCCTGAGGAAGGCATGGAGACCTCCTCCACCACCTGAACCTGGAGGCAACCTCATCCAGCAACTCCCCTCTGGAAGCCACACACTGCGATGCATCCCGCAGCTGGCACTGGTGATATGTTGTTCCATGCAGACCCACATCAACCAGCATGCCCAGTCGGAGACGTTTCTCCGCACACTCATGCATTATGCATGGCTCCATCCCAGCCTACTTCCAATGCACCACCTTCCAGTGTGAAAGATGACTTGGGTGTGGAAGTCGGCTGCAATTCCTCAAAGCTGCCTATGATAATATTTTGAATGAAGCATATGCCCAGCAGGGGCAAATTACTCTCCCGCTCCCCCGAGGGGCTGTATCATGGTCTGCCATTGACATAATCATGCTGCACCTGCAGGTAAAACACATTGCAATATTTCTAAACGTATGTAGCAGCATCAGTTCCTTCATTGCAAGGAAAATAACAGTACGCAGATTTACTGGGGCAAAACTAAAGCTTCACCTACTGTCCCTGCAGCTTCTCAAGATCCCCACCCAATTTTACACCAATTGTAAGTACTATAAGGGCAAACCAATGATACAGCTAGTTGCAGGCTTGTTTATTAATTAAAAACTATTAAAAACCTCAACATTATTTTTCCATAATTTCAGTAAAAATACACTCCGTATTTACTGAGGTTTGTGCCTGCATCTGTTACGTTCACAGACATATTCCACAGTTTTCAGAGATGAACCATAATTCCATTGATAATGAAGTTGGCAAAATTATACAACTCCAGGTTTGCATGAAACCGCTATTCTGGGTTGAGACAGAGACTACATGAATAATAGATATTAAAATAATCAATGAACCAAGTCTTTAGTCTTCATTCTTCTGAATTTTAAATTCCTTCTATTTTATCTGGGACTGATCAAAGAATTTTGCTAACAGAAATAATATTCTATGACTATTTCATGTTTTCTGCAGGATCATTCTTGAATGATAAGGCATCACCCAAGAAAAAGAAAAAGATATGCAAATGATGTGGAAGTGAGGCAAGTGATTTATTCTATCTGTGTTGATTTCTTCAGGTCTGTTTTTTTTTTATTTTTTTTCAAATCAGCATGGGACATATTGTGTCATTTAATTTTCAGCAAATCTACCTCTTGGTTTCAAAAAGGAGAGCACAGAAGGAGAGAAAACCCACTATTATTATTAATCATTAATTAAACAATAGCAGCATGCCTTTTGTTATTCTCCCTTTTTTAAAATTTATAAATAAATATTATTTTTTTCTGAGAAAGAGGGTGAATATTTAGTTTGCCTCTAAACACAGGTGGTTCAGAAATCTGACTCAGCAAAATAATGTTTCTATAGGGATCAGCAAAATTTCGAGCCTTTTTGGAAACAAAATAAACAAAACCCCTAAACCCCACCTGACAAGGAAGTTTATCTGCAAAGCCCAGATGAAAAGACCCTGAAGTTGGGTTGTGGCTCTCCCATACAAGCTGAACGAACCATGCAACCCTATAGGAAACCCTCGCCCTTGATTAAGGTATGGAAAGCCTGAGATGCTGGAGGGTGGCATTTAACAGGTGCATCTGTTTACTTTCCAGCTACTTGTCTTCCTTAAAAAAACCCCTCAGACCATAAATACAACTAGGTGCTGAATTAAGATTGCAAAAATACCAAGCTCCCTAGAGACAAGTGTCTGTCTGAAAGATCTCCCCCTGCCCTCCCCTTCCCTCCCCAAAAAACACTTCAGGAAGGTTTCCTGGGTTCTGTTACATTGAGCTGTGTTTATGAAGCTGTCTGCAAGCATCCTGGACCCTTTAAGGAGATGATGCTAGAGCCTGTTGTGAGCATAAACATCATGTACTGGCTGTTCAGCATAAACATGTACCTTAAAATTAAAAAATACATTCAAACAAAGCCTGCCCAAAGCAGACAGCAGCCTGCCCGGCAGGATCAGCCGCTAGCTTTTCTCCCTCTAATCTGCCCAACGAGCAGCGTCACAGAGACCGTCTTTTATCAAAACAAAGGCTGGATGCTGGCTGGGAAGTGTGAAGCCGACTAAAAATGGCTGAAAAGCTGTCCGAGGCTCCTGGGAAGGTAGCCAGCCCCACCCAGCACAGACACCGACCCACTCAAAATAAGCTGAAAATAAACCCAAAAGGGAGATGCTATTGTTCCTCTCGCCTACTCGGCAGCAAGACAACATCACCGCAACATTTTGCCCCCGAACAGATCAGCAGGGTGCTTGAAAGCACAATGAAGGGATTAATTTGTTCTTTTTAAAGCAATCCTACAGCAAAGTAGGAAGTGGGTGGCAATGTTGCGGCCACCTCGGTGCTATGGCACTTCTCACCGAAGCTGCGTTTTCTTTGTGTCGACGCTAGGCTAAGCCCTCACCATGGGTGTGTCCGTGGGCAGGATGCACCGAGGAGCCCAACGCAACCGCCTGGAACCCTCGCGAGCCCGAGCAGGCACAAATTCCCTGTAAACCCATCTTTTCTAAAGCCCCGAAAGGTATGAAATCATGCTAGCCGCAGCCCGATGGAGAAAGTCAGGGATGAGAAATGATACCGCTAACGGTAAGGGTGGATGCTGTGGGAATGAGCTGAAAGGTGGGAAGGAAGGTCCTGTATCCTGGATGCTTTCAGGGTGAGCCAGCTGGAGATAGGAGAAATACATTCAAAGAATTAAGGGCTTTTAATCTTTCTTTCTTAAATTACCCCCAAAACAAAAGCTTCTCGGGGAGGGAGACAAAACAGCATGCAAAGGCCCACAGGTGAACAATGCAAAAATGGATGGATCCTGCCTTTGCCTCCTCTGACATGCAGTCCTTCTAGCATGCAACTCTAGAATAGATAGAATACCCTGACATTTCCAGTTGCTCCAAAGACAGTCCATCTTGGTAGAATCGGCACTGGCTTGCATCTCGGAGAAGCTGAGGAAATTGCCGGTCCCTTTCGTCGGAGGTACTGCGTTACCAGTCAGGCATTCCCGAGCATGGGTGGGTTAGCGGGTGTCGCTCCCGTCTCCCCGCTCGGCTCCGGACTGATGCTGTAAGCAGCACAGGCGGAGGGGGGAGGGCATATTGTACGCGCTGCGGTCTCCACTGCAGCAAATCAGCAGTGTGATGTGGTTGCCCTAGGGAGCAGGCTCCTTTCAAAAGGGGGATGCAGTCCCCTTTCAAATCAAAAGCTTGCGGCTTGGCGGCTTAGCTTCCTAAGCCATCAAAATGGTT